CAGAGCCAAGACATCTGAGCAAAGCTGACAGTCAGAGAAAACCATGCCTTGAGCTTCTTTGTTGTGCATAAAGGGATGCACCCAATCCATGCTCAGAATTTCAGCTCAGATGAGAATTTAGCTTCATTACCATGTTAATGTTCATTTTCCCTCTCTGGTTGGGAAGTAGGTGGCCCCATTTGGTGACAGGTGCCCTCACTCTCCTGTGAGCAGGCACTCTCTGTCCTCGGCTTCTCCCCTGGTGCTTCTCGCCACGGAGTCCCATGCCTGAGAAGCTTGTGGCCCAGAGGAGGCATCTCTCTTGAGTGGACTGAACTGGACCACTGCAGAGCCAAGCAGAGACCACCCATAAGGGTGACGAGCCTGGGACGAAGCCACAAGGGTCCTGGGACCACCTTTCCAGTTCCCTCCATGGCCCTGACTGTGGATGGAGTTGGACAGTGGTTCTAATGCTGCCCACCTGGGTCGCTCTCTGAGAAATTTGGCTGTCAGGGGTCTAAAGGGCTTAAAGTATACCTTTTATCCAATGACTGAATATTTCCCCAGCCAAATCACTTAGTGCCATTACTTGAGCTGCTGGTCTCTGCTGATTCCCAGAGCCCTTGCCTCTGCTTCTAAGACCCCGGAGCTGTGTCGGCTGCTGTCTTGGACTCCTTACCCCAGTGGTGGCACCCTGCATTGGCTCAGCCCTCAAGGAGCACTCTGCCTCTGTTGAGGCAGCTCTGTGCTTGTGGACAGAGCTGCCATAGTGCCTGCAGCCTGACAGGGTCAGACTTCAGGGCTCCAGGCATGATGCAGGCCTGTGTGTGTAGACCAAACTCCTCCAGCTGCATGGCCCTCACCTCACCATATGCTTATTTTGAGGTCCCAACTTCCACACATTTGCTTGATTTCTTGGTTACCAGTCTGTACACCAATGTTGGGGTCTCTATTAGTAACACTGTCTTCTCGCCTGCCCAGGCTCTGGATAGGTTGAAAGTAGAACAAAGGGGAAGCCTGGGTGGCAGAGGGAGCCGCCTTTGGGGTGTGCTCAGATGGGCTGACCCGAGGCTCAGTGTCCAGTACTGGTGTCCAGGTGTGATCCCCAAGGATAGGTGAGCCCCAACCTGATCACAACCGTGCAGGGCAGGCTCTGGAGATCGAGAACATGGCCCTTTTTTCTCCCACTTTTTCTCCAATGGCATGCTTTTTCAGTGCGCTTTTTGTCCCCCCACCCCCTTCTCTTATTTGCCCGTCTACTACCATGGACAGTAGTAGGAGTGATGGTCGTGTACTGTCCTGGCTATACCCCTCCCAAGATGACTGTCCTATCATCCCAGATCAAACTGGGCATGAGAGGCAGGGCAGGGCTTCTGAGGGTGGTCACTGTTCAAAGCATTGTTCAAAGTGATGGGACGTCAGCCTTTGTAAGTAAGAGGGGTGCCCTGGCTTGGGGTCGGGGCCTTGGGCGGCTGTGCTGGAAACCAGGATGCAGCAGGTTTGGCTCCAGTGGGGTCTCCTGCTCGGAAGGTGGCACAAACGTGTCTGACATGTGCTTCTCCCCCAGCTCTGCACACAACCCCAGGACTTGTAGCTGTAGAACGACTTGATTATGTCACCATGGGAGCCCAGAGGTAGTTTTGTAGCTCTGAATGTCTTTTAAGATTATTTTAAACAAATGTTTTTATTTTCCCTGGCCAATATCGTTTTTCTTGGGGGCTTTACTCTTTGATCTGGACTGGAAAAAATGTTACCATTTGAAGACCTCTTAAAACCTGTCTTTAGATTTATTGTCCGCACAAATGGAGATTCGGATAATAGCTCTGTTCTTAATGGGAGAGAAACAGGAAAAGAAAATAAATTTCTTGCTTTGGAATGATAAACACGGCGAAGCATATGCCGTATATCCTGGCAACAGGAATTCAAGGTCGGAAATAATTCCTTTCCTCCTGAGTCTGCGTCAGCTTCCCTGAGGAGTGCAGAGGCTGAAATTTGCTACTAATTGTAGCCATAATTTTAGCATGCAATTAAACACATGTTTCCTTCCCAGCTGATGTCTTTTTAGCTCTCTGACATGGATAAAACAAAAGCTCTGTAGATTTGAGCAGCCATTTTAACCTGCTAGGAGGTAGGAACTAGAGTAATCCTGCCTATAGCAATGCAGAACAGCATGGGTGCTTTTAATACAGTTTCAGTATTTCTGTCTGTGCTCTGAAGGAGCCAACAGTTGCTGTATCTATTTTCCTAAGGCCCTCCATGAGGTTAAGGATCGTTTCAAGGAGTGATACTAGGTGGGGAGGAATCAGAGGTGAAGACTGCGGTTGTGGTGGTGGTGGCAGAGGCCACCTCACGCTGTGGCAGGTCTGGTGTCTGAGGGACCCCAGGATCTGAGAGCAGAGCCACTCCAGGCTTCAGGCTGACTCGCCCTGGGCTGGTGTACCATTCACTGCTTTTCTCTCCCTTGGCCTCTCCAAGAGGGTCACTGGCGCTGTACAGGATGCTCCCTGTGAAACAAGGGCTCCCTGCCCAGAGAGTGTGGTAACTAACAGAGCAAAGGAACTAAATAGGTTTTTCTACTTATGGTGTCTTAAGAGCCTGTCACATGCTGCTGTACATTGTGATCCTAGAAGGAAGAGTTCAACAAGTGTGGTTTTGAGAAGTATATGACCATGGCATTATTTATTTATTTATTTATTTATTTTTTATTTGAGAGAGAAAGGAAGAGGGAGGGAGAGATAGAAACATCAATGATGAGAGTGAATCATTGATTGGCTGCCTCCTCCTTGCCCCCACTGGGGATCGAGCCCGCAACCCAGGCATGTGCCCTTGACCGGAATCGAACTTGGGACCCTTAGAGCGTCTGCAGGCTGACGCTCTGTCCACTAAACCAAACCAGCTAGGGCATGACCATGGCATTCTTTATTCAAGGAACACCTGGCAGGCCACAGTTGGGGAAGCGTCACTCTGGTTGTATGGAGCCTCTTGAGCATGACTTTTCATGATAAAGGCAAACACTGATTTTGCACACATCGTGTCCTAGCCTCAGTCCCAAGCTCTTCCATGCATGGTCTCACTGACATTTCCTCTCGTTACTATCCCTGTGATGCAGGCGAGAAACTGATCCATTGGGAGGCTAAGCAGCTTGCTCAAGGCCTCAGATTTAGGGGCTGGGCCTGTTCTATTTTCCAGCCTGAGTCTTGGTTGACTTTAAGTATTGGACCCTGTATAGGCTCATCTGAGAAGCCTTTCTGATTCCCTTCCTATCCCCCAAGACAGGGACTCTGACCCTTCCCTGGTCTCAGGGCCAGAACCTCTCATGGTTTGCGTGCAGTACTACGTCACCATCACGATGTGCCCATTCGTTCTTCACACTAGACCACAGGGTTCATGAGTGTCAGGCTGCCTGTGCCTTTGAGCTGCGTTTTCAATCTCTAGCCCAGAGCCTGGCACGGTTGCTGTGAGTGAAAAGTGGTGAGTGATTCTTAAATGTGGACTTGATCTCATACACTCTCTTTGCTCCGTAATGGTGGGTGGGAGCAAGAGTTCTTGGCGGTTCTCAGTTTCTGAGGACTCATACTAACTTTACTCTGTAGGCCCAACTTTTTTCTTAATTTTCGATTTATCAGAAGTGGTATGTAAGTAACCCTCCCTACATGTCAAAAACAGGTTGTTCCCTACTCTAAGAATCATCAACAGTGTTTAGGCTCAGCGCTTAAACAGAGGTCCCTTGGATGGATGGAAGTTGACGTTCTGATTATTCTATGGACAACATCTCTCAAAGCGGTATCCTTGGGTTTTCTTCAATAAATGTAAGTCAGCCTTTGGGAGGTTAATCCAGACACAATTTGAGTGGGGTTTTGGTGGTTAAAACAAAAAATTGTGAATAAAAAACACACAAAAGTGGCTCTTTTTGGGGGAGCTCTTGGCAGCATTTGAAAAAAGGATTTTCTGGGAAA